AACAAATCACAATCTTTAGCTGGTCGAATTTGCATAGATTGATTTTTTGTTCCATTATATTTTTCATCATTGATATTTTTAAATTATCACCCTAATCAATGTACTAGCAGAATGATAAATTAATGAATTAGCAGAATGCCGCCGTAGTTGCCAGCACAAGACGTGAAGTGAAGTGACAAGGGACAACCCAACATGTCTTACACATGTATCAAGTACCTCTATTCGTTTATATGGTCGGTGTACTAACATGTATATTATATTATGATTTTGCGTAGAATATTTCTATCTGTCATTTTGTTCATTTTGAAAAAAAAGTGCTTTCTAAGGGCTTACTAAGGTTTGAAACATTTCCTAACAATTATTTCGACATTTAAAAGTTTTGCTAGAATTGTCTTTCACTTATTAAATGGCCTTTAAAAAATTTTCTGTTTACTGTTATTTAACAAGACTTCTTGGGGTAATTGTTTCCCTTACTCAAGCAGTTATTTCGGGTTGCTGTACTTACTTCATAAAAGAGGACTCCTCTAGTGTTGTAACTGAGTGTTCTACCTTCAAATTCAACTATGTTTTGTTACTTTTAAGTTTTTAACACTATATTTGTGAGGTGATGTTGTGTTATAAAAAAAAAGCTTTTAGGCCAAGGATCGGTTAATGAGACTCATTGAGCAAGGGCTGGAGATGAAGGGAAATGACTGAGGAAATGGCTTTTGAGAGAATACTTTACAAAGATTTAAGGAACCTGGAGCCTAACCCTAACCCTAACCCTAACCCTAACGCTAACCCTAACCCTATCCGAGTCTTTGTTCGATACCTCTCCATAATTGGATCCTTATTCGATACCTCCATTGCTGTTTATTATTCGATTCCTCCCTTTCACGAGCAGTAATCGATACTTCCCTTCCCGTTTATTATTCGATACAACCATTGCTTGTTCAGTACATCATTGGGTGTCATTATACGATACCTACTTGGCCCAGTCTATCCAGCATCTCCAAATATTGTTGATGAATACACTATAGTCGATAACTACCCCTAACCTACTATTGATTATACTCATTACATGCCCAGCTGTAATTAATTGATACTTATTTGATTTTTGTACAAAGTTGCAAAGTCTATAATTGATACCTTCCTTCCAGTCATTATTCGATACCCCCGTTAGTACGTTTTTATTCGATACGTACTTGTCATTAGTATATTCCTATCTTCACTTGTGATTCGGTCTCGTTTGCTATCGTTTTTTGATACCTTCTTTGCCTGAACATAATTAATACCTAATCGATATCTTCTTAGATTTTTATTCTTACTCATTATTCGGTTTCCATTCAACCGGTTTTTATTTGTTGAACCTCGACACCTAATTAACTTTAATAAAGGAATCCATCTCTTACCGTTCAATACTATCTGTAACCTTCAAGTTTCAAGTCAATTTATTCGATCTTTTTTTGATCGTTATTTTGTTCATTGGTATTTGTAAACCATCACCCAATTTAACGAACTTACAGAATGCCGCCATAGTGGTGAGCGAGCACAAGACGTGAAGTGACAAGGGACCACCTAACGTGTTGTACTTATATATGAAGTATCTTGATAGGTTTATATAGTCGGTGTACTAACAGTTATATTACATTATGGTTTTGCTTAGAAAATATTTTTCTCTGTCATTTTGTTCATTTTGAAAAATGTGCTTTCTAAGGGCTCAGTAAGGTTTGAAACATTTCCTAATATTTCGACATTTAAAGGTTTTGCTAGATTTGTCTTTCATTTATTAAAGCGGCTTTCATGTTTTTCTGTTTACTATTGTTTAACAAGACTTTTTAAGGTAATTGTTTCCCTTACTCAAGCAGTTTTTTCGGGTTGCTGTTAATTACTTCATAAAAGACGACTCCTCTAGTATTGTGACTGAGTGTTGTACCTTCAAAATCAACTGTGTTTTGTCTCTTTTAAGTCTTTAACATTTTACTTGTGAGGTGATGTGTTATTAAAAAAACAACCATGAGACTCGTGGAGCAAGTGCTGGAGATGAAGGGAAATGACTGAGGATATGGCTTTTGAGAGAATACTTTACCAAGGTTTATGGAACTTGGAGCCTTTATCCAAGTATTCCATTTATTATTCCGTGTGAACTCTCCGTCTCTCCTGCCTATTCTCCACTGCTTTCTTTCCCTGTCTTTCTCTATCTTTCTCTCTGTGTCTTTCTCTCTGTGTCTTTCTCTCTCTGTATGTGTGTCTGTCTGTTTGTTTGACTGTCTGTCTGCCTGTCTGTCTGTCTGTCTGTCTGTCTTTGTCTCTCTCTCTCTCTCTCTCTCTC